GTTTTGTTAAGATCTTCTATTTCTTCCTGGTTCAGTTTTGGAAAGTTATACTTCTCTAAGAACTTGTCCATTTCTTCCAAGTTGTCCATTTTATTGGCATAGAGCTGCTGGTAGTAGTCTCTTATGATCCTTTGTATTTCAGTGTTGTCTGTTGTGATCTCTCCATTTTCACTTCTAATTTTGTTAATTTGGTTCTTCTCCCTTTGTTTCTTAATGAGTCTTGCTAATGCTTTGTCAATTTTATTTTTTCAAAAAACCAGAAAAGCATGTAATTTTAATTTTCCACTCTTGTAATTGTGTTTCAATGAGTATATACTACTGTAAGTTGAAGAAAAAAAACTCTTTTGTTTTCTTTTTTTCTTTAATTGTTTTCACAATTTTGGCATCTCACATAACGGGAAGGGTCAGTGATGGAAAATTACCTGCGAGATTGGTACTATAAAAACCGGGATCTAGACTGAAATTCAACTCTGACATCACCTATTTGACTTCGAGGAAATCAAGTTCCTTTCTGTTTTTTCTTGACTCTGGGATTTGGAAAACAGATCCTACTTTTCTGACAAGGGTACATTTTAGTGTCAGATATGCTTGTTTACATTGAGCAGCTTATTAGCATTGCATGAAGCACAATCAAAAGTATCCTTTGATTTCTTTGCTTCTTTTGAGCTTTTAGAAGCCATTCATTGTTGTGAGGCACCCCCATCCACACATCTCTGAATCTCCAGTATTCTTGCCTGGAGAATCCCACAGATAGAGGAGACTGGCAGGCCACAGTCCACAGGTTTGTGAAGTCGGACATGACTGAACCAACTTAGTACAATATACAGTGGATCTAAAAATCTACATAAAGCTCTTTAGAATACCCAAAATGTTCACTCAAATCCCAGTAATTTCTTCCTTCTCTGATTAAATTTGATTTTTTTCCAAGGAGAAACTGGTCTTAAATGTGTTCTCCTATTTAAATCTTCACATCATAGCTTAAATAGCCTTCTGTAGATTAAGTATAAAATCACAGTTCAATTACAAGAATATTCTTTAGAAAAAATAAACTAGGAGAACCAAAAGAAAAAAAAATGTTGAATTTTGTTTTCAATAAAAAGATTTATTAACTTCTGGAACATCTATCACTCAAAATCAACTAATGGCAGTTAGTTATTATATAGAATTCATTTTATTCTCAATACAACCATAGTAAGTATCATCGTTATTTTTTAGGGGGGAATGGGAAAAACTGAGGCTCAGACAGGTAAGGTCAGACATCCATTAAGTGGCAGAGAAGCCATCACACTCAAGACTGTCTAGTTCTATTTTCTTAACTTTTAAGACACAATTGCCTCTAGTGCAACACACAAAATATTCATCCCAGCCAAAGACTGAATCTTAATCTCCTAAGAATTTTGAAAAAAAAATTTGTTTTCATATTTCACCCTGGTTGTATCTCGAGTTTATTCTCCAGCATGAAGCCTCCGATGTCGCACAAGTGCTGAGCTGTGCCTGAAGGATTTCCCACAGTCAGCACACTCATAAGGTTTCTCTCCAGTGTGAATTCTGTAATGTTCACTAAGGTGTGCTTGCTTGCAGAAGGTTTTTTCACACTCACTACACTTATAAAGTTTCTCTCCAGTGTGAGTCCTCTCGTGTTCAACAAGGGAAGAGTTCTGAGTGAAAGCTTTACCACATTTGGTACATGTATAGGGCTTCTCTCCTGAATGGATCCTCCAATGCTGCATGAGGCATGCACTCTGATTAAAGGCTTTCCCACAGTCATTACACTTATAAGGTCTATCTCCAGAATGACTTCTCTGATGACGAGTAAGGCATATACTCTGACTGAAGGCTTTGCCACACTCACTACATTTATAGGGTTTCTCTCCAGTGTGAACTCGAAGGTGTTTAATAAGGGATGGACTCTGACAAAAGGCTTTGCTACATTCACTGCATTTATATGGTTTTTCCCCAGTATGAATTCTCAGATGCTGGATGAGGACTGCTTCTGTTGGAAAAGCTTTCCCACATTCATTACATTTATAAGGTTTCTCTCCTGTATGAATCTTAAGATGTTGAGTAAGATTTGACTGTTTACGGAAACAAGTTCCACATTCAGTACATACATAGGGCTTCTCTCCTGTGTGAATCCTCTGATGCTGGGTAAGAGATGATCTCTGAGTAAAACACTTTCCACATTCGCTACATTCTGAAGGTTAAATCTGTTAAATCTCTGATGTTTCATGTGCAGTGAAATCTGGCTTGAACTCATGCTGTCTGTAACAATAAAAGGACATCTGTCTGATAGGCTCCAGTTTACAAGAAATTTTCTGTCAAATTCATAATATTTACAAGGAACTTTCTCAAAGATGATTGTCTTTAGAGTAACACTGCTCTCCTGTAAAAGGTCTGTGTGCATGTGGTGTCCTCCCAGTCATTCCTCACAATTTCCCCTCCTAGTCCTTGTTCAGCATGCCTCTTCAGCTTCTCCTAATGCAAACCTCTGATGACCAGGCTCTCTGATCTTCCACATCTTTTCAAGTCATTTAACACTGTGCCATCAGGCTTGGTTTTCTCACCTGAAAAAAATCCACAAAGGAAAATATCCTACATGCAGAACAGAGGACCTGCATTGTAGAGCCCTGATTTTTATCCTCTTGTCAATAACAGAGGAAGGTTACAATGATGGGGGAAAAAGATTAGAATAGGTGATTGGCTGAAAGAGATTAAGTAATGACAGGTCTTGGGAAATCTATAAACTTCCCTACTGTGATTTATTCTGAAACACACAAATACTAAAACCTGATCCAGTAATTTAGGATTATCCAGACTGATAAATAGGAGAATAACAAGATACTAATCTTGGGTAACTTAAGTGTTGGGGAAAATTACTATTCACCTAATCTCTAGTCCTCAAAAAAAAAGGGTGAAAAATAATGATGTTTCCTTCGGTTGCCTATAAGTAGTATCTTCACAGACTAGTGATAACTGAAGAACTTCTCTGTCAAGATTTCAAAGGTGATCCAGGCTGTAACCTTTGCTAGGTCCATCTCACCAATCCTTCCCTATTCACTCACCTTGATAGTGTCTCTTTGGATCTCTCTCTCTCCAAAACATTCAGCATCCATTGTTCTCCCCCTACATACAGCTGGGGAATCTCCAAGTTTGGAAATTAGAGCTCTGCTCAGTGAAAGAAACTACCACTGTTTCGTTTACAGAAAACAAGATCGAGGTGGTCCTTCAGGAAGAAGACCCGAGTGGACAGTAACTTCACCACAGCCAGGATCTGGCCCTCACCTTTGAAGTCAAAAAAATTCTTCATTATCTAACATGTACTAATCAAATCCACAAAGAGAATGATGTAGCAAACACAAAGTCAAAAAAAAAAAAGAGTCACTTTACTAGTTTACAGTGAAAATTTTTTATGCTTAACATCCAGCTGGTTAATACATTCTCCCCACTATAGAAAAACTGTATGACAACCAAATTGTTGTCATCAGGACACACCTCAGGAAGCACAGAAGTGGAGAAACAGTGGACTTAGACAATCTTAACAGCATCAAACTTTGAATCTGATGCACTCATAAAGCTGCACAGACTCAGAGAACAAATATTCAGGCACCCCGCCATCAGAGCAATCTCTCCTCTAGATGGTCTGGAGACACAAACACATTCTTATTTCCTGAGGCCACCTTCTATTTTAATTATACAAGTTACACATGAATGTATCCTCACTTTAAAATATAATAACATGAAGGTATATAGGATAAAACTGTAATTTGTATAACCATCACCACCCCACTCTACCAGAACAAACCCATCTCCTTCCCAGAGATAATTTGGAGTATATACTTTCAGTCTTTTTTCTACATATTTTTTACATATATGTAGCATTTGGTTTTTTTACATAAATAAAATTGTTCTATAGATGCTGCTATGCAATTTGATGCTTTTTTCACTAAGAAATATGTCTTTGAGATCATTTCATGTTGTTACATACAGATCTACTGGGGCTGAGAGTCAACTGGTATACACCGGTATATCTGCACAAATAGTTTACAGTCATAATCTCCAATATATACAAACAGATCATGCAGTTCTATGTCAAAAAAATAAAAAAATAGGCAGAAGATCAAAATAGACATTTCTTTAAAGAAGAATTACAGATGGACAAAAAGTACATGAAAAGATCTCAACATCACTAATTAGAGAAACGCAAATCAAAACTACAATGAGGTATAGCCTCACATTGGTCAGAATAGTCATCACTGAAATACAATTAATGTTGGAGAGGGTGTGGAGAAAAGGGTGCCCTCCTATACTGTTGGTGAGAATGGAAATTGGTAACAGCCACTATGAAGAACAGTAGGGAAGTTTCTTAAAAAACTAAAAGTAGAACTATCATATGATCCAGCAATCTCACTCTTGGGTATATCCAGAGAAAGCCATAATCGGAAAAGATACATACACTCCAATGTTCACTGCAGCACAATTTACAATAGCCAAGACATGGAAGCAACCTAAATGTCCATCAACAGAGCAATGGATAAAGAAGATATGATACACATATACAATGGAATATTGCTCAGTCATAACAGAAAACAAAATAATTCCTTTTGCAGTAACATGTTTGGACTTAAAGATGAACTAAGTGAAGTAAAGTAGACAGAGAAAGACAAATACCATACGATATCACTCATATGTGGACTCTAATTTTAAAAAATGACACAAAGGAACTGATTTACAAAACAGAAACAGACTTACAGATTTTGAAAACAAATGTATGGTTACCAAAAGGGAAACATGGGCAGAAGGGATAAATCATGAGCTTGGAATTAACATACACACACTACTATTTATAAGATTGATAACCAACGAAGACCTACTCTACAGCACAGGGAACTCTATTCAGTATTCTTTGATAACCTATATGAGAAAAGAATCTGAAAAAGACTGAATATATGTATATGTATAACTGAATCACTTTGCTGTACACCTGAAATTAACATAACATTGTAAGTCAACTATAATACAATAAATTTTTTAATGGTTTATGGTCAGAGATTGATCTGATTGGGCAGTCTTGAACCAACAATGGTTGTTAATAAAGTGACTACTTTGTGTGAATTTATCTTTATCTGCTGTATAAACTTCCATTATGGACATACTATACACAAAAATAAACTCTAAGTGGTTTACACAGCTAAATAGAAAACCAAAACTCTAAGCACATCTTTATTTCCTTTAATTTTATTGTCCCCAAATAAAAATCATTTTGTTTTCTTAGTTATATAGAATGAAACATATCATAAAAAATGATTAGACTAAAAATGAAATTACTTGAAATCCTACCATCCAGAAGAAACTGTTGGTATTTTTCTTCTAGGATCTCTCAGTGCACACATAGACACATATGTATACATGTACTATGTGAACATATTAGACTAGAATTCATTCTAGTCTAATAAATAGAAATAAATAGTCACATCTATTCACAGAGTTCCCATTACCTAAAAATCCAGTTCACCTAGTACTATTCTTACTGAGTTTAACAGATACCCAGGCTCCACAGTGCCTTCTGATGGCCAATAACAGTGGTCATGATTATTGTTCCAAATGAGGCCAGGAACCCATTGCATACCCTCTGGGGAAACATTTAATTCACCTTTACAATGGGTCTTCCAATAATTTACTATCAGTTTCTTTTTATTTACTTATTTGGCTGCGCCAGATCTTAGCTTTGACATGTGGGATCTTGAGCTGTGGCATGGAAACTCTTAGTTGCACTATGTGGGATCTATTTCCTTGACCAGGGATGGAACGTGGGCCCCCTGCATTGGGAATGAAGCACCTTAGCCACTGGGCTAACCAGGGATGTCCTTACTATTAGTTTCTGACCACTACACGATTAGACCATCATACTTAGCAATTCAGTGAGTGGTTTCAGGGTGTTCCACCTGACTTCAGTTTAAGTATACATGATAAGAAATTACTGCACACTCTGATCTATCCTGTGACCAGTTACTCCAGAGCCTTCTTTCACAACAAGCCACTCTCACTCTGATTTGAGTAAGATCGTCCCATTTCTGGAGAGTTCTGTGTTTTCAGTCTGCAAGGTCTAGGTTTAGTGGTCACTAGTGGTTGCCACCTTAAGTCTGCCTAATGAGTACTCCCACAACAACCCATCCTGGGCTCTAGTTAGATTTCACTTACCCAGAGACAAGTTGTTAGGAACACAAGCAACACTGGTTTCCCTCCTGGACACACTTCCCATGAGGAAGAGCAGGAATCTGAGGTGCAGAGGGAGGAGAAAGACCACCCATAAATTGTTAGCTTACTTTACTTCCTTCATACTCTAGATTCATGGGAATCCAGGAATAGCCCATCCATACCCAAATGACTATTTTAAGTATAAATGAAAGCATGTCATTCTCCTGGGAGAGTATCACTAATGACGAAAGTCAGGGAGAGGTGACAATGCACAAAAAAAGAGGGCTGGTGCTCTTAAGGACCAAGCATCCTCAGGTAAAATTTCTCCACCAGGAATAAGATTTGTGCCTACTAACCCCTCCACCCCATACATACACTCCAAACCTAATGGAGAAGCCACTGATTTCAAAAATCAAAGACTGTGGGGCAACAGTGAAAGGCAATAAGACAAGCACTAGACTGAATCAAAATGTCTGGGTTCTAGTCTCTGCTCTTCCACTAACTCAGTGGAGATAGTAACCTGAAGCAAGTCACTCAACTTCAATTGTGATTTCATTTTTTTTTAATCTGTGAAATGAAAAATTATATTTTTTAATCTGTGAAAAAAAAATATTTTAAGCTTCCTCTAGTACCAACATTTTGTGATCCTTTGGCTCCAAAGACAGATGGGGAAAAAGCAAAAATCTCAGATCAAGCCCTTTCAAGTCCCTCTTTGACTGAAGCTGTTATTCATTTATATGAAAAGTACTAAGTGAGGTGCCACTATTTGTCAAGCAGTGAGATGGCCTCTTGTTAAGAACAAGCTATGGGACTTCCCTGGAAGTCCAGTGGTTAAGACTCTGGGCTTCCACAGCAGGGAGCATGGGTCTGATCCCTGCTCAGGGAACTAAGATCCTGCATGCTGCCTGGCATGGCCAAAATAAATAAACAAATAAGCTAAGTGTGATAGGGCCCACATGGGGTCTCATTGATAAGATGGCTCGTTATGTCAACCTTGAAAACAGATAATAAATCAGGTGATCTGTGAGACTGATCAAACTGCCTAAATGGCATCCTGTTATCTCACTGGCACCTATCTTCTCAAAGCTTCGAGACCACCAGATTCCAGACCTCCAGCTACATGATCATCCCTTCAGAGAATTTTTCATTGGTGGGGTATAAGAAGGACTCCATCAGAAAGGGAGAATGCTGGTTCTCTTTAAGAGCCAGTCATCCTCTCTTCCCTCTAATAAATCTCCTTTTCTTGCCTGACTGCCCGGCTCACTTCTTTTTCTTTGCACTTGCCTTACAAAGTCAACAACAGGACAACACCCCAGCACTTAAGTCTCTCACAATCAGAGGCTGATGAATTTCAGGAAAATAAGACAGTCTCAGTGTGAAGCAGAATCTTCAACAAAAGACAGTGGGAGCCTATTGAAAGATGTTAGGGACCTCTCCTAAGAGGAAAGGTTTTAGGAACCCCTATGAATAAAAAGGAAAGAATACTGTATCAAAAGACAGTGACAGGGTTTCCAATCTAATCTGTCCCAATCCACTAGCACCTCTTGACACCGAACAAATTAATTACCTTCAAATTTCTAATTAGATTAATTCACACCTCTGAACAATTTTAATATTCAGGTCAAGTATGAACCACATTTCTTCCTCTAGAAAAGTTTTCTTCACCTTTCCAAGGCACTTTCTCAATATTCTAAAAGAATGTCACACATATCTACTGTAGTACTTTCCATTCTGTGTTTAACACTGATTACATTCCATCTTCCTTCACTAAACTTTGAAGACAAGTATATGACATGAGCTTGAAGCTGGCAGTCTCGGGTTTGAATCCACGTTCCATCAGTTATTAGCCAATAAGGGGTACTGGGTAAGTTACTTTACCTTTTCTGTGTTCCATTCTTAAAAAATGTTAAATGGAGCTGATAATTACCTTCATAGGGTTGTGATGATGTATAAATGAATTAATGCATGGAACGTATTTAGAATAGTACCGGCTGATAAGCATACAATACATAGTACCTGCTGTTAAACTGTTGAGTCTGGATGTCTTCACACAGCACCTACCCTGTTGCTATTAGGAATAAAAACTTAACGAAAGGAAAGAGGTAACTTGCACATTTACTTATTCAACTTGCACAACTTTGTGAAGTGGCAAAACGAGGGATAGTATTCGTTTCTAGGACACAGAAAACGGAAGTAACCCACGAGTTTGCTCACTCAAGTACAAATAAATGAAACCCGGCCTCCCAGACCAGGGCTCTGGTACAGCCTTCCTCCCTCCCTCTCCAAGGGAGCCGGTCCCAACTTCCCGGCCTGGCTCCAAAGGCCTGGCTCACCTGGAAAGAAGAGGAGTTGCTGCTGCTAAGTCGCGTCAGTCGTGTCCGATTCTGTGCTACCCCATAGACGGCAGCCCGCCAGGCTCTCTGTCCCTGGGATTCTCCAGGCAAGAACTACTGGAATGGATTGCCATTTCCTTCTCCGAAGAGGCGTTGAGGCCAGCTCAACTCCTGGGACCAGCCGCAGCCAGGGACGGCCAAGTCTGCTCAACAAGCGAACCGCGAGGCACCGCCCGCCGTACTTTTCCGTCCTCTCGCGTCTGCGGGTTCCCAGGCAGCCCGCAGCTCCTCCCGGACGCTCCGGCCCAGCTTGACGCTAACAATACGTGCCGCACCAGCAAATGCAGCCGTCTCCTCCCTGGCAAGCCGCCGGGCTTCCTCCCCCGCCCGAAAACAGTCGCAAACGCACCTCAGTATACCTCTTCCCCGAATAAGGATGCTGAAGTCAAGTGAGAGTCGGGGTCTTCCCCGGGAACTCTTACCCCAGGTTAATTCACCCGGCAATCGGACCATTTATCTTCCCCAAAATTCTGTTCCAGGTCACCATCCTTTGAAGGTTTTCTAAAAGTTTCCCTAAACCTGGCTTCTACCTTCCTGCTACACGTTCTCAACTGTCAGATAATCAATCTCCTCACAGGAACCCAAAAACACCCCACTGCTTCCGGCTGTTTGACCAACAATTGGCCAAAAGACAGGAGCTCTGCTTTGCGTTGAAGTCCCAGGTTCTCAGTGTGTGAACCTGGGCAAGTTACCCCTCTGTGCCACTTCCCTCATTTTTAAAGATACTAATTTCAAAGATACCAAATTTCATAGTGTTGCTGTCAGGATTAAATGAAGTTAATCCGTGTAATTTACCAAGAATTTCTGGTACTTAAAAATGGTCAATAATGTTTGCGGAACATTACCACGCTCCCCAAATCCCAGTTCCAAGCCCCGTTGACTGCAATGACTTCCAGGACTTTCCTGCCTTAAAGGTAGTACCCCTGGCCCCATTCTGAGAAACTTTAGATCTTGCTGATCTTCATTCAGGCAGTATTTGCATATTCGAAATGAAGCCATGGGCAGCAGGGCACCTGACCCACTTCCAGGCATTTCCAATCATCTGCAAGCTCAGGAAAACAGGGCTGTCACCCAGGTTCAATTTCTGGGTCAGAAAGATTCCTGGGTCAGGAATGGCAACCCACTCCAGTATTCTTGCTTGGAGAATACCACTGACAGAGGAGGCTGGCAGGCTACAGTTCATGGGGTCACAAAGAGTCCGACAGGACTGAGTGACTAACACTTCTTAACATCATATCCCTCGTGTGCAGTAGTAGGCTTTCAGGAAGCACTTAAGTTAATGAGATGCAACAAAGTTATCTGCTCAAATTTCCAGATAGACAATATTGTAAAGTAATTAGCCTCCAATTAAAATAAATTAAAAAAAATTTTCAGATGGACCTTTTCACAAAATGGGAGTCCATTTATGATGCTGAAAACAGAAGTGGAAATGCCAGACTGAAAACCATCGCTCTCTTCAGCTAAAAGGGAACCCTTTGTAGAACTGTTAGCTGACAGGTCAGAGAACAATGTTGGGCTTGCCTTTCTTTTTACCCAGTGTCTCAGCCTCATTAATTCTTTCGAATCAGATAGCATCTTCTTCCTCGATAGCCCTAACATTCCGCATCCCACAGATCCTAAGCCTATACATTTTTTCCCTTTTAGACTTCAAAGAATCGCTATCAGGAGGCTCTGCCGGGTGGAAACTAACCCTGCAGTAGGGTGCCCCGGGCAGAGTAGGTTACTAGAAACAGGAATCTGGGGCTTAACTGCGATTTGTGAGGAGCTTCTTCAGTGAGAAGTGGGAAATGGATCGGAGAAATGGACACCAAGAAATCCCACTGAACTAAGACAACCTTAGCCCTGCTCTAGACAGCAGCTTCAAGAAAGTGAAACTAGAGCTACAAGGGGTCAAGACTAGATTTCTGCATTATGTAGGGAAAAAGATGGGGTTAAGATGCAGAATCAACTTCTTTCTCCCCCTCACTTACATGCAATAAGGTCTTATTCTACAGGCCAAAAAGCTTCTTGATCTAAAGTGAACTTCTCCCATTCTCAGAATTAGGGCATAACACACAAGGAAAGAGGCATCATGGAGCAGACGTACAACCAGTAAAGAGAAATCAGAGGGAAAAGCAAGGACACTGGAACTTCAACTTCACCTGAGAATAGCTGTGTGACCTCAGGCAAGTTCAACCATCCTTCTGTCTTCCCTTCTCTCATTTTGTGGCTCTCATGTGGCCTCATCTCGTGTTCCTCTAAAGTCACAAATTACATTTCGACGCGCTGAATATAAGTAACACATTCTAATTCTTCATCATTCCAGAGCCCCAAGGAAAGCCATGAGTTCAGGAAGGGCTTGCACATTCGGGTTTTCAAGCTCAGCTACTCTCCTGACAAGCCAGCATCACTGCTCAGCTTGTCTCTCTTGCTGCAAGGATGTTCCAGTTGATATAGCTGCGCTTCTACACCTGCATGCATTTTCCTCTTCCTGTTGACCATGACATCAATATATCTGAAGACAATTTGTTAAACTATGATGGGACATTTAAATGTCTAATCTGTAACAGAACACCCCCCCAACTTTTTTTTTGCTACATATTACTTTTCCTTATGAGATCCTCTCTTTATCAGAGTGGACCACACACTCTGCACCTTGGGGGAAGGTTCAGAATTCTTACTTCTGGCAAACACTTCATGACATACTCTTGTATTCACTGTACCTTTCTGCTAATAACTGTGGACTTAAGTCACAACCTGCATTTGGGCATGGAGAATCGTCTGACTCAATTTTAGTTGAGCTCAACAGGTATTTACTGAGCACCTACTAAAGGCCAGAGATGTGGATACAAAAGTGAATAAATTTCACATGGCTCCTGCCCTGATGGAGCTGACAGTGGGAAGAGAAAAATTTGTAAACTAGCCATTACGAAGTGAAGTGAAGGTCGCTCAGTCATGCCTGACTCTTTGCAACCTCTTTGCAACTATACAGTCCATGGAATTCTCCAGGTCAGAATACTGAAGTGGGTAGCCATTCCCTTCTCCAGGGGATCTTCCCAACCCAGGGATCGAACCTAGGTCTCCTGAATTGCAGGCGGATTCTTCAGCAGCTAAGCCAAAAGGGAAGCCCAAGAATACTGGAGTGGGTGGCCTATCCCTTCTCCAGCAGGTCTTCCTGACCCAGGAATTGAACTGGGGGTCTCCTGCACTGCAGGCATATTCCTCACCAACTGAGGTATCAGGGAAGCCATTATAACCTGATACACAAAATGATGAAGTAAAAAAATACAGAAATACAGACCATGTGACATCAGAGACAGCTTGGAAGAGTTGTTGCCTGAGCACATTCACAAGTGACAAATGAGAGCCTCCCAAGCAAGCAGAAGCAGGGAAGGAAANAAAAAATACAGAAATACAGACCATGTGACATCAGAGACAGCTTGGAAGAGTTGTTGCCTGAGCACATTCACAAGTGACAAATGAGAGCCTCCCAAGCAAGCAGAAGCAGGGAAGGAAAGCAGGAGATACGAAGAGAATGTGCAAAGGTGCCAAACTGGAGTCCAATGATGTCACAGAAATTTGCACTATGGAATAGAACGTGCAAGGAATGACCTCTGAAAAGGCAAAGCAGGCATGGGCCAGATGAGGAGACTCGGGTACCCCTGGAGGCTAACACTTGATTCAGAGAGAGAACCACAGAGCTGCCACAGTTGTGTCTTGCAAAGACCATCCAGAAGACATGTGAAAGATGGCTCAGTGATACAAGAAACTGCAAGACTGGTTGGGAAAATGAGGAAAAGCCTAGGAAATCAGGAAGCTTGGATAAAGCACTTTTAGTGGGGGTGGCTTCCTAGTTTAAGAGTTCTAAGTCAACTGGATATAGTGCTTGATTGGACATGATGAAGGAAGGCTGAGGAAGAAGCCAGACTTGAGGCCAAGCTGGAGTGACTTGACACATAGTGGGCCAGCAACTGACACAAAGTCAGGAGTAAATATCTGCATGTGTGAGAATATGGGATGAGGGTAAAGCTGATGAGTTCTTTTTCTTTCTGCTTCCCCAGGAAGTAAAAATGGTACCAGACTCTCTTAGCCTGAGGATTAAAATCTCAGTTTGTCCGTTCCACTTTAGAAAATCTTCCTAACAACTGAGGCATCTTTCACCCTTAAGGTTTTCTGATTTCTTCCTCAAGAAAACTCTCCCTTTCCTCTCTAACCTCCAGTCAAGACTCCAAAGACAGCAGCGTATAAATATCACTCTAAATGTCAAGAAGTTCCTAAAGTTTTTTGTAGGCAGAGTTTGATTAAAATATATTAACTCAACAAATAAACATTTACTGAACATTTACTATGTGCCAGCAATGAATTCTTCAGTGTTTGAAAAAATACAGACATTTGCTTTCTGTAGACATTTTTTTCCCATGAGCATAAAATACAGTTTTCATAGGGTTATTTTTTCCCATAAGACATTAATTCACTCAATTATGAACTGCCCTATGGCAGGTTTGTGAACATCATCTTTATAGCTGGAGAGGGAAAAGTATGTTATTTCTGTCACATTCCCATTATTGGTAGTTAATAGCTCAAACTAATGCTTTTAAGACAGTTGCTCTGGAAAAAAAATCAAAGCTGAGTTCCAAATAACCAATCCAGAATTAACTTACTTCAGTTGTGTTTAATGGTCATATTTTTAAAAACTATATCAACTTCAGAGCATAGAAAACTATTTCAAATACCAGTCAAAGGCTATCCTCATATAATCTTCCACAGCTGATTCTCTAGGTAGCAGTTAAGAACAAGAAAGAGAATGGAGACGTAAAGGGGAAACATGCCCTTCTTTTCACTCAAAAAATAAAATGCCATCAGTCATGGCAAACCATGCTATCTTGATTTTCAGAGGTGAAAAACAGGTAATTCTCTTTAGAATTCTTTCCAAATGCATCCCATGAGAAGTGGTTCCCTAGATAGCTCTAGTTCGCAAAGAATAATAAACATCCTGGATTAAGAAAGTCCCAATAAAAACAAACATCCGA